GCTACCAAAGTCCACGCCGCGACCCGAGCTCCTCTCGACGACATCATCATTGCCAAACAGAAACCAGCGCCCCGCCTCAGCAAACCATGCGGCGAAGATGCCGCCATCCACGGCGAAGATGCCGCAATCCACCAGTCTTTCGGTCATAGCCTGCTCCGAGACGATGCCCCCAAGAAGGAGAAAGACGCGAAGACGCCTCCATCGCCCGACCCAACGGATCTGAGGTTTCCGTCCGGAGCTAAAGCCGTGGGGAGGAGGAGCACACCTCCATGGCGACGCTTTCAAGAAAGATCACGGCACCCGCGGGTGCCGCCGTTGCCGGCTCCGAAGAAGGTCGGAGCAAAGATTTCTCCCGGAGATGCGCCAACCACCTTCCACCACCGACCGCCGCCCACCGGCCACCACCTGCTGAGGCCGACCTCATTCTGGCCACGGGATCCCACGATCCACCATGACCAGACACGCACCACCCCCTGGCCGAAGCCGCCGTCCACCACCGCAGCACCACCGTAGCCACCACCACCGCAGCAACCAACGCCGCATCGCCAGGAGCAGCACCCAGATCAGAGCCGCTCGAGTGAAGCAGCTGAGCAGGAGCAGGCCGTCCACCCGCAGCACACCTCGCGCCCCGGAGAAACCAACCAGTCGCCGCGTCCGTTCAGTCAGTCGCTGCGCCCGACGTGCGCCGGCCGCCGCCGCGCCCGGCAGTCGATCCGCGCCCCACGTCCACACCCGTCGTCCACTCCCAGGCCACGCCGGGAGCTCGGTCCGAGGCCGCCGCCTTGGAGCCCCATCCACCACACCGAGCCACCAGCACAACCGCCAGCACCACCACGGTGCTCAGCAGCCGCCGAGGACCGGCGCCACCACGCCTGCCGGCAGCCGTGGCCGAGACCCTGCCGGCCAGAACCAGATCCAGATCGGACTGGACCGGAACAGGGCAGGGACCCCGGGCTGCCGCTACCGCAGGTCACACCACCGGACGAAGCACGCCCCACCACCGCAGCCAACGCGCCGAGCCGCCGCCGGAGGTTCACCGCACCAAGCCGCCAAGAGCCCCGTCGGTGGAGCTCCACGCCGCCGCTAGAGGGGAGGGGGCCGCGCCCGGGAGAGACCCCGCCGCCACCGGCAGTGCACGGGCTTCGCCCGGCAGCGGCCCATGGCGGCGACGAGGGGAAGGGGAGGGAGGGGGGTGGCTGGCGGCGGGGTCTGGGGTTCCCCCCGTGCCGCCTCGGAGAGGGACGCGGGGGTCCAAAAACTTTCTGTGTAATTTTGTAACGCACTCTCTTTTACTAATAGTTTATCAACCATTGATCAGCCCGAGTAAATTACGCAAAGAGATTACCAACCGCAAACGGAACACAAAACATTGCCGATAAATCGGTAAATTTAGACGCAGGAGCGGACAAGCAACGGCAGGAAAGTCACTAAAAAAGCCTCCATGACGCTAATCAAGACACTATAAAAATCAAAACATACCCGACGTCCATCACAACTCAAAATACACAGCGCACCTCGTCACCAGTCTCTAGTCTCTACTCTCTACTCCTTCCTGTACCAGGTAGCTAGCCAGGTACGCTCCGCTTGACCCCAGCCATGGCAAGCCGAGCTCTCACCACCTTCCAGCTCACGGCCACCCTCCTCGTGGCGCTACTGGCAACGTGCCATGCCGGCAGCATCGCCGTGTACTGGGGCCAGAACGACGGCGAGGCATCACTGGCCGAGACGTGCGCGTCTGGAAACTACGAGTTTGTCATCCTGGCTTTCCTCCCAAAGTTTGGCAAGGGCCAGACGCCACAACTGGACCTCGGCAGCCACTGCGACGCCTCGTCGGGCGGCTGCAAAAGCCAGAGCAAAGAAATCCAGTCATGCCAGCGCGGCGGTGTCAAGGTCCTCCTCTCCATCGGCGGCGGAGACGGCAGCTACGGTCTCTCATCACCCGGTGATGCACGACAAGTTGCCATGTACCTCTGGAACAACTACCTGGGCGGCACGTCATCATTCCGCCCTCTCGGCGACGCCATACTCGACGGCATCGACTTCGACATCGAGCTCGGCGGTGCCAAATTCTGGAATGATCTCGCCACGGACCTGAAGAACTTAGGAAAGAACGGTGGCAAGACCGTGTTGCTAAGCGCCGCACCGCAGTGCCCCTTCCCGGATGAATGGGACGGCAACGCGATCAACACGGGGCTGTTCGACTTCGTTTGGGTGCAGTTCTACAACAATCCAGAGTGCCAGTTTAGTGCGGGGCGTGGAGCGTTCATGGACGCGTGGAAAAGATGGGAGTCGGTGCCGGCAGGAAAGATCTTCCTAGGACTGCCAGCCTCCAAGGACGCTGCAGGCACCGGGTTCGTGCCCGCCGGGGAGCTCACTTCACGCGTGCTTCCGCTCATCAAGGGCTCACCCAAGTACGGCGGCGTCATGCTGTGGTCAAAGTTCTATGATGATCGCACTGGATATAGCTCCGCCATCAAGAGCTATGTGTGATTCGCCTGGGTGTGCTAGTATTTGTGTGCCCCACTGTCCCTTGTCCTGTATCATAGTATCATGCGTTTATTGTTTGAGATGTCATCATATTGGTAGCTAGTATACTGGTGTACATGAGAAGATATGCATCCATTGTTGTAAATATTTATTAAGAATTTTAATATACTTTCTTTAATTAAGATAAGTCCCATATACATCATGTACTACACTGTCGATGTTTCTGCAGAGAAGTACAATTTTTAGTCAATCAGCTAAAGCTTGGGTTCAACATTTGAATACCATTATCCTACAAAATGACTCTCGAGTGGTCATATTTTTCTATTCAACTTGAAGAACTTGTTATTTTTTGGAACATTATCGATGGACCAAAAACATAACATTCTCAGTTTTTTGTTGGTTACCTTGAGTGCCTCACCTGGAATTAATTGGGCATGGCAAAATGGTGAACTATTGCTAGTGGTCAGGTAGTTAGACCAACATATAATGGTTGCTTGTCTACCCACTACTAAGATCTTGAGAGATAGCTACATCCTCCCATGGTGGCTTAGTTACAGCTTTCCATGGCGGCTCGGTTACATGTATGTGTTGGTTCTAATGGCGAAATTCTGGCGCTGAACTGAAGTGGAAGCCGATGTTTGCCTGCTCAAACTTCCACAACTTTTCAATTTCTCCTTCACTGTATTTATTCGAGCAACAATGAAAAGAACGGGGTCAGGGCCCCTAGCTTTGCGCCATTACGACCGTGGAGCTCGTGCCATCCCACGAGTAGATTGGTAGGGCGCCAGACTTGCTCCTTGTGGTTTAACCTCGAGCTAATCTCACTAACAATTTAACTGATGAAACTGATGAAGGAGCAGGCACACAAGACAAATTGATAAGTTTGGCATTCCCAATCCACCAAGTGGTGATTTTGAGCAGCTATTTGACGAAATGAGCTATTCATTTACATAGTACGGGAAGCTGAAATAGACCTAGGAATTTAGCATGGGGATTGCCGTAATTCACATATATAATGTATATAAAAGGTAGCTATAATAAATAAGTTCAAAATTTGTAAAATGACACTACAAATAGTATAATTTCTTGTAAACAACATTAGAATTATGAGAAATAGTCTTAAAACAACATTAAAGTGCTAGATAATTAGTGTTAGTCATATACTGTAAACTATTTTGCATTTTTAGAGGGGGCGTCCATGGCTCATCTTCATTTATGAAAACATTCACGTGTATGCCACTTCCACAAGTTGCAATGTCCGTTAGCCCCTGTTCAAATAACAAAAGTACCTTCACAATTGAAAAGGGAAAACCTTGTGATGACAATGACAGGGATCTGTTCTACACCTCAACAACCGTCACAATAAGAAGGGGGGAGGATGCTTTTGGGATGCGGCATGGGAATGTGCAACGACTTGGCAACATGGCTCTACCAATCTCTAATAGGGAAAAATAGTGTCTTCATGATGCTCCTTAGTGAAATGCACGTGTCCGTCAAATTGACTAGATGGAAGGCATTTTCCACTCATGGATTGCATTAAAGAATGCTCGACACACATCGTCCATCAAAGAAGAATGGGAAAAATCATGATGTCATTGACCATGCTTTACTCTTGAGAAATTTGGAAGAAATTACCGTGAGTGTCTTCCGCAACATCCCTACGCTCCACACCTTGTTTTAGCATGTAATAAAATTGACACAACAAATCTGGTTTTCTCGGCCGCTAGATACTTGGGGTCATATTTGGAGGGAGAGTACACCTCTATTGTTTCATGTTGTAATATACTCTTTCTTATTAAATGAATGAAGGCTAATTTTTGCCCGCTTTTATTCTTCTTCTTCAAGAAAACTATGAGAACCGACCTCAAAAAAGGGAGGACTCGTTCCTACCTTGCTAGCATATACTCTCTCCGTTCTAAAATAGATGACTCAACTTTGTTAGTACAAAGTTGAGTCATCTATTTTGAAACTGAGGGAGTAGATCTCTAAGGCGAGCCTGGGTTGTTAGGGCTCCAATTTAACTAAAGAATTGCGTGTAATATGCCAAGTATAATTTTAACCATCGTTGAGGTAGCTTCGAGCCGCAAATTACCGTGTCACAATAAACTATTAGTACGAGTATAAGACTTTGCATATGTGCTCTGCCTGGTACTCTTCTGCAGTAGAAAACAGAGGAGAAGGCCCAGTTTTTATGGCACGTATTGTTGATATTTTGGTTGAACACGGCAGGGCGTTTGTGATCTTAACGCACTCTCTTCACTAATCGTTTATCAACTGCTGATCAGTCTGAGTAAATTAAGCAAGGAAAATACTAACTTCAAACGGAACGTGAAACATTGCCGGTAAATTTAGATGCAGGAGCGGACAAGCGACGGCAGGAACGTCACTAAAAATCGTTCATGATGCTCCCTCAAGACACTATAAAAATTCAGACATACCCAATATCCATCACAGCTAAAAACACAGAGCGCTACTATACCAGCTAGCCAGGTACGCTCCGCTTGATCCCAGCCATGGCAAGCCGAGCTCTCACTCTCCTCCAGCTCACTGCCACCCTCCTCGTGGCGCTACTCGCGACTTGCCATGCCGGCAGCATCGCCGTGTACTGGGGCCAGAACGACGGTGAGGCGTCGCTGGCTGAGACGTGCGCGTCTGGAAACTACGAGTTCGTCATCCTGGCTTTCCTCCCAAAGTTCGGTAAGGGCCAGACGCCACAGCTGGACCTTGGCAGCCATTGCGACGCCTCGTCGGGCGGCTGCAAAAGCCAGAGCACGGACATCCACTCTTGCCAGCGCGGCGGTGTCAAGGTCCTACTCTCCATCGGTGGTGGAGATGGCAGCTACGGCCTCTCATCACCTGGTGATGCACGACAAGTTGCCATGTACCTCTGGAACAACTATTTGGGCGGCACGTCATCATTCCGCCCTCTCGGCGAGGCGGTACTCGATGGCATTGACTTCGACATCGAGCTCGGTGGTGCCAAATTTTGGAATGATCTCGCCACAGACCTGAAGAAATTGGGAAAAAACGGAGGCAAGGCCGTGCTACTGAGCGCGGCACCGCAGTGCCCATTCCCGGACGAGTGGGACAGCAATGCGATCAACACGGGTCTGTTCGATTTCGTTTGGGTACAGTTCTACAACAACCCAGAGTGCCAGTTCAGTGCGGGGCGTGGAGCGTTCATGGACGCATGGAAAAGATGGGAGTCGGTGCCGGCAGGGAAGATCTTCCTAGGACTGCCGGCCTCCAAGGACGCCGCGGGCACCGGGTTCGTGCCTGCCGTTGAGCTCACATCACGCGTGCTTCCACTCATCAAGGGCTCGCCCAAGTACGGCGGCGTCATGCTTTGGTCAAAATTCTATGATGATCGCACTGGATACAGCTCCGCCATCAAGAGCCATGTGTGATTCTCCTTGGTGTGCTTGGCCTAGTATTTGTGTCCCTTGTCCTGTATCATAGTATCTTGTGTTAGTGGTTTGAGATGTCATCATATTGGTAGCTAGCATACCGGTGTACATGAGGAGATATGCATCCATTGTAAATATTTATGAAGAATTTATATTTATTTCTAAGCTAAGTCCCATAACTCCCCAGGAATTTCAGTTGCGCTTATATCCATCACCGTAGGACTTGGGTTTAAGCTTTCCCCAGCCCCTTTTCATCAATGGACTCCTGACGTCTACGAAGGAGTGTGGTTCATTCGACAAATTCCAACCTCTATATCTATCTCCGAGGTGTTTGGGTTTTGCAAAACTCCATAGACATGCAGAAGAGAAATGCTATCCAAGCAAATAGTGCCTTGATGCGCCGATAAGTATCAGTGATGCCAGAGCGGGCCCCAATACCACTGGCATGAAGTGATTGCAAGATGTTTTTTTAATTTAGAAGTTTGCACCAACCCATACTCTTCCTCTATATCGAATGACCCCATTATGCAATGAATATTTGCTATTCTTGTGAGTGCTCAGGACTGTCAATTCATATAGTGTCGTGGAATTGTCACGGCAGATGTCCTAGTGTGAGGACTTAGTCGTGAGGCCAATGCATCTATGTGGTAGCTTGAGAGGGGTTGAACGAGACGAGAGACGCGAGGCTTTTACCCAGGTTCGGCCCCTCACGGTGGAGGTAAAAGTCTACATCCCGCTTCATTGATATTGATGATGATAATCACGATTACAAGGGTGCTCTTTCTCGAGAGCTATTGACTTGTCTATCTAAACCTAACTTGTGAAACTTGTGGAACCTGTCACTCTTGGGGAGCCCTGCCCCTCCTTATATATGTTGAAGGGGCGGCTTACATGACTAGTCCTATTAGGATTAGGATTACTCTATTATAAGTGGAGTCCTAGTCTTGCTTTCTTTGTAAGGGAATATTCCTTATGCTTTCCTCTTAAACCGGCCCACCATCATACGAACCGACATACTGGGCCTTGGGCCTTGTTATTCGTCTGACCCGCCCGCCGGTTTACTAATGAGTCGCCAAGATCGGGTGGGTTACTTGTGAGTCACCAAGCTCCGGGCGGGTCACCAGTGAGTCGCCAAGATCCATCCGGGTCATACATCCAGCCGGGTTACACCGTGGGGGTATATCCCCGACATTAGCCCCCAGTTTAATTTGGATTTATCCACGTTAAACTGATCCTGCAAAATAAACACAAGAACAAATTTGACAGATTATGCTCCGGGTTAAAAATTCTTGTAAGCCGGCACTTGATCATCCTTAAGTCCTTGTCATTTCCTTTTTCTGGACAGTCCGGGTCAATAGACCAGCTTCATAATCAATTTGCTGACATGGGTTTCTCACACAAATATATTGTGAAGAATATTTGATTCAGCTCCCAATGCTTAACAAAAATATTGGTCTTGAAATACTAATCTGATTTTCAGCCGGCTTGTAGAACTTGCCGGTTTATCATTGCCAAAAATATCCGGTTTGTAAAGGGGTTAAGCTATGATCCGAATACGATCAAAGTCGGACCCAAAAGGGGTTAAGCTATGATTCGAATACGATCAAGAAGCCCCCTAGTGAGTTTGGCATTGTGCCGGTCAAGACGGTACCGACAACTATGTTCTCTTTGGTTCGAATACGACCTATGTTTGAACAGGAAGCCCCCAAATGACCTTTACAGCCCAGCCTATAAGCCGGATCAAAGGGTAGTCATAGTTATGCTCAGTGAGCAGGAAGCCCCCATGTATTTTGTAACAAGGCGTATAAGCCGGATCGGATACCCATGTTTGAACTGCGCATCATGGCAACAGGTCCTCTTCGGCAACCTTTAACTTTTTGCAAGAGATAAATTCTTCTTGAACCGGGATTTTGAACCGGATATTGAGAGTTTTAAAGCTTTGTGGGAGACATGTTTACCTTGAGCCGGATTTTGAACCAGAATCCTTCTTTTTAAACCGGAAATTTTCCGACGGCCTCAAAATATTCGCCAATAAGGCAGTAGCCTCTGGGGCTGGGTTATTTTTCCCTCCACTGACCCGGAGTTCTTGACTTGCTTTAAGCTGTCAGTCATTTACCGAGTCATGTCATCGTAGCCCCCAAGTCTCAAGGCGACTCGAGGAGTTGTCTTGAGATTCTTCATATTTGACTGTGATATAAACCGGTATGAGTTATTTAACACCTCAGTTATATAATAGTCCCTTTTGCAGTAGACATTTTGTCTTGCATTGGAGAACTTCACAAGACAGAGTAATTGCTCTTTTTAAAGAAAGCAATATGTAATATAAAAATATACTAGATGGATTTCACCTGATATGTTAGGCCGGAAGTTATCCGCCGCGAAGTTGGTGATCACTATGGTAAAGCTGAAGTTAATCACGGGCAAGTCGATCGCGGGAGCAGACAGATGAGTCAGCCGCGGCGTTGTAAGCCGGTGCAGACGAGCAAGTTGTCCTCCGCATTGTAAACCGATGCGGACGTGTGAACCGCCACGAGGTCAGATGGGCGAGTCGTTCGTGGCGTTGTAAGGCGGCGGACGGGTGAGTCGGCCACGACGTTGTAAGCCGGTGCGGGAGTCTGTTGAGTAAGGACGCCCACCTGTGCCGAATGATGTTGGCACGCCTCCATCTCCGTGGCATAATACCACTTTGTAATGGATAATTCTCCTGCATATAAAATACCGCATGGCAAAGTAATTTTGTTTGGATGAAATAATATGTGTTTAAAAATAAATAAAATAAATAGCACCTGATTCGTCCAGACGACCGTTGACCCGTATATAGGGTGTGTAGATGACTTCTGATAATTTTTGACCATTATAATCTGACAAGAGGCCCCTCAGAACAACCATTCAAAAGAAACACACGGTCGGGTGTTTGACTGGTATCCTTGGTGTCGGTGTCTAAACCGGCGGATCTCGGGTAGGGGGTCCCAAACTGTGCGTCTAAGGCGGATGGTAACAGAAGGCAGGAGATACGATGTTTTACCCAGGTTCGGGCCCTCTTGATGGAGGTAAAACCCTACATCCTGCTTAATTTATTCTTGATGATATGAGTATTACAAGAGTTGATCTACCACGAGATCGGAGAGGCTAAACCCTAGAAGCTAGCCTATGGTATGATTGTATGTTGTCCTATGGACCTAAACCCTCCGGTTTATATAGACACGGAGGAGGCTAGGATTACATAAGGTCGGTTACAAAGGAGGAGATATACATATCCGTATTGCCTAGCTTGCCTTCCAAGCCAAGTAGAGTCCCATCCGGACACGAGATGAAGTCTTCAATCTTGTATCTTCATAGTCCAACAGTCCAGCCAAAGGATATAATCCGGCTGTCCGGATACCCCCTAATCCAGGACTCCCTCAGTAGCCCACGAACCAGGCTTCAATGACGATGAGTCCGGTGCGCAGTGTTGTCTTCGGCATTGCAAGGCGGGTTCTTCTCCATATTTCAAACATTTGTAAAGCAGTGTCCGGTCCCATAAATGTTTGGACCTCTTGGCTTCTGTGCCCAATAAGGGCTATCTCCCACGCGTCAAATGAATACGAGGCACCAGGGCGTTTTTACATTTGCCCCCCTAGCCAGATAAATAAATTGTCTATTAAAAGGATGGGGATTCTCAGATCCGATCCATACCATCCTCCCCCAGCGAGAATCCGTCAGAGCGTGCTTCAGAAAGATCCATTCCAGCATGGCCGACCTCCGCAACTCCTCCTCCGCCCCCGTAGCCCTAAGCCCGGTGATTGGGAGAGATGTTCAGTCCCACACAGTCGATTAATCGAACTACAGACTAAGAGATTTCTCCCTCCAGCATACATGGTGCCCGTTTGAGCCGGGCTTGCCACCTACAATGGCGGGGAGCAAGCGGAGAGTTTTCCCAGTCCCTCTACGGGGGAGCGGGTCTGCATTATTCCTTATTTATTAAGGGGACTCGGATTTCCAATTCATCCGTTGCTCCACGGGCTCCTGGAGTTCTACGGCCTCCAATTACACAATTTCACCCCTGCCTCCATTCTACACATCGCCGGCTATGTTGCTCTCTGCGAGTTGTTCCTGGGCTGCAAGGCTCACTTCGAGCTATGGAAAAGGCTATTTTGCCTCATCCCTCGCACACAGAGGGGGTAACTTTATCAAGTGGGCGGAGCCGAAATATGGCGCATCGCCGGAACCGGATACCTGTCCGGTACCCCGAAGAAGTCGTCCGAAGACTGGCCTTCGGAATGGTTTTATATGGAGGACGTTCCCCTTTCGGACCCTGTTCGGCGGGGTCTTCCTGAATTCAGCAATGCTCCTCTGAAGAAACGCCGAAGTTGGCGCCCACGAAGCCCCCAGGAGGAAGACAATGGAGAAGTCCTTTACCTGATGAACCAGATTAAAGCACTGGCTCAATCAGGATTGACAGTAATCGAAGTTATGTCGATTTGCATAATGTGGGGAGTGCAACCACTTCAATATCGTGGGCACCCCTTGTGGTGTTTTAACGGGGCGGATGATGCCACCCGCTGCGGGCGTAACGGTCCGGACAATGCTGTCGCTTTAGCAAAAATTCTGTCCGAATTGTTCAGGGGAGAGGAAGAGGAGTTCATCCGCATCAAGCCACGGGATGGATTCTCCATGTACAATCCTCCAAGCTGGGTAAGTTATATCTCCTTACTCCCATTCTTCCCGCATTCTTTGTCGTAAGTATTCACCTTGCCATTTTGCTGCAGGAACTGTGAAAAGCCATAAAGGAGGTCAGCAGCCCCTCTCCACAACCAGAGGACCCTGACCGGGCCCTCGACTCCGGACTCGAAGACGATCCGGTTATATTCGTGGAGCTGATAGACCGGCAGTTCTATCAGTTAAGCTGTGATGATGCCATGGTGGCCATTATGGCCGACTATCCCGGACTGCTTTCTGCATCGCACATAAGAAAAATCAAAAAATCCCAACTCCAAAAACTAGGATCCCCTTTTAGACAC